TCTCTCTCACACATACACACACGCACACACAGACACATACACACACATAAACACACACACACACACACACACACACACACAAGCACGCACACACAGACTCCACGGCAAATTTTATAATTTTCATTTTAACCTATGTCTCCCGTCACATTCCAACACACAAAACACGGGTTGGAATTTGACGTTAAACGCAAGCGGGAAATTCACGCACTTGAGGTTTTGTTAAAGGAAAACTAGGGCTAATCCCCTCTTGATGAGGGGAGTGAGTTAGGGCCGCCCGTGGGAACTACAGGGCCTCAGAATGGTGAGCACTTGAGCTCGTCCTTTAAATTAAACAATTACCTCGCGGATAAGAGACGATAGAAAAAGAAGGGAGAAAAAAGGGACCAATAAAAAGAAGGGAAAAAAAAAGACTTCTACCCTTTTGTCCACGCTCCAAGATAAGCGCACAGCTAGCTATTTTTCACATTGGGTGCATGGAGGCGTTTAAGTGATTTAAAAAAAATCAGAATCGAAACAACCCCATCTTCTAAAAAAAAAAACAATAATCACGACAACGACGACAACAACAAGAACAGCAACATACAACCAGAAAATTGCTGACACATGTTTTAGTCTGAGCAAACGCCCTACGAGAGGCAAAATCATTGAGATTTCTAGGGCCAAACAGTAGTAGTAGTATAAGGTTTTACGGCGCTCGCAACTGCTAAGGTCATATGAGCGCGCGAAACACAAGTTGTTCACTTCTGCGAAAGTTCACTTCACGACTGGTAACTAATTTACTTTAAAATGCTAAAAAGTTAAAATATTCAAATTCGGTGTAAATACATTTGTGATCTAAAACAACTTTTAAGTAACAATAAAAATTTTAAATAATATCAGAATCACTTTACAACTCGCCATAAAGGCCAATGGCCTTTATAAAATTTAAAATTCTGCTGGGAACAACGACAGAGAAAATATCCTGCAATTTCTTGCCAAACAGACCTTCCGTAAACAGACAGTAAAACTGATGAAATATGCCAGGCCTACGACCAAACAGACAAGGGTGTTCTAGTGTGGCGTATGATCTTGGATTGGTATTATTATACATGATTGTAAAAAGGCAATAGTTTGTGTGCGTGCGTGTGTGTGTGTGTGTGTGTGTGTGTGTGTGTGTGTGTGTGTGTGTGTGTGTATGTGTGTGTGTGTGTGTGTGTGTGTGTGTGTATGTGAGTGAATTACAATTGTCACCAAGACATTCTAAAATCTCCTGTTTCTCAACTTCTTCACGACATATCGTCGCCTCAGAACTATTTTGTCCAAAGTGCCTCTTTACTTAAGTACACTTACGACAAATTAGTTCTGCGGCAACGATATATCTGTTGACTCTGGTCATATACATTTATGAATTAAAAAGTTAGAAATAGAGGTAATACATTCAACAGCCGTGTAATGTCCATCAGGTTGCAAAGTCTGCTACCTGAAACAAAAAAGTCTGAAAAGCGTATTAACAAAGTACATTTTAACCAAAAAGAAGCACGCTCAATGGCGTTCTGTCCTTGAAACGTTCAGAGTAGCCCAGCTCCATAATCGGAACCAGATCTCGAGAACGGGCTCAAACAGCTCAGGCCACTACTTTATTATATTATATCGATTCGTGGGAAACACCTTGTCTAGAAAATAAAGACGTGATGATGAATCCACACAGCTGAAGAGAAACACTGACACTGTGGTGATATTTATTCTTTTTTATCCTTTGAACATTTAGTAGTGGTTCTGGGCATTCCAAAGATCAAGGACAAAATGCCAGTGAGGTAATAGAATAAAACACAATACATGTGTTTTGTGGAATCTGCAAGAAGAAAAATGTTTATTAATTTAAAAAACAAAACATTTGATGCATTACGCTGCTTTCCAACTACAAAGTTCTATCTGACATTTTTGGTTGTTATGAATTACTAAGACCATGAGGTCAGAAACCATTAATGTTCTAACTGCTCTATCAAACTCGTAAGAATATTCGGAGTTGTTATCAAGATATTCAAAGAATTGCATAAAAAAAGCTTGACACGATTTAAACTCAAAATCTTTGACGTCAAATTTCTCAAAACTAGGTACTGACCAGATAGAACTTCGTAATTCTGAGGTAACGATTAGAGAAAATCAAAAAAGGCGTTAGTAAAAGCAGGGAATCGGTGCGTGGAGTGAGAATCAGACAACAGCACAACAACCAATGAGAGCAAAACCAGTTAACCCCATTTTGCACCCCAAAAAATATCTAAATATTTAGTGTACTAAATTCCTATTCCACATTCCGTATAAACCACTGGGTATAGCTGTAAAACTCACTGTTGCATCCTACACGACTTAAGCATAGGCAAAAGCAGAAGACAAACCCAAGACCTCAACGTTCCCAAGCAGGCACATATTATATTGCTTCTTCGCCTATCCTCCCAATTTCATGCCCCTCGATGAAATTATACCATCACCGGTTCCCCAACGTTCTCATTCCGCTGGATTGCTGATGGCATGCCAGGCTCAGTAATTGTCTCCGTTTGTACATTAAGAGGCGCTGACAGGCATTCAAAGCGGCCCCTGATGGCACTGAATTACATCGACCAGCAGGTCCCTCATCGACACACCAGGATCATGGTGCGGATTATCTTCATGGGAATAAAACACGAATGACTCAACGCTCTTATCCTTTTTTTTATTAGCTCTTACACTTCAGCCCCCCCCCCT